GATTCCAAGCCGAGGTCAAGAATGACTCAACGACCAGCCGATTGACTCAAACGGAGCCTGATTTAAGCCTCCCGTTTATCCGAAGCAGGGGCCAAAGCAGTGTGTTGGGGACGTTATGTTGCCCCTCAACTACCAAGATCCCCCTTTCCGGCATACGGGACACCACGCACGGCAAACACGTGGGTGGGCGTTCAGATCCCAGGGATGGTGAAGAAGAGTATCTAAACCATCTCTGGGAGGTCCCCTCACCACGGACAGGATCCCACATCGAGGGGAGTTTTAAAAACATATTTATACGATTAAATATTGTGGAATTAGCTAATTTAATGTTTTAAAACGTTAAATTAGTTAATTAGATCTAAAAAACTATTTAAAAAGCGAATTTATTGTGATTGTTGACATTTTACTTTGAAGGTTGGAGGCGGGACTTTTCGCGGCAATTTTTCCTTTCACAAGTCTGTGATTAGTTACAGTAATCTCAACAAAGACAGAAGATACCCAATAAAACTTTAGAGTTTTCCTTTGATTGTTTTCAACCAACTGTCTAGTTAACTTCAAAGATTTACTGTAAATGGTAGGGGATGTATTTACCGAAATATTTATGGCCCAGGGGTGGTAACAAAACACTTATTGGCTTAAACAAAGTCAATCGACCTACAAAAGAGCGAATCATAGCTAAAATCGAGGGAAAACTCAAATATAACGCGAATTATTGAAATTTTTTATTAAAATCGCACGTTTGCAGTTGTCGCATCTCTTCAAAAATGAATGGTCACGTGACTAGCGTGCAGAAACCGCGATAGTGCGGTTTCTGCAGCGAATGGGTTTTCCCCACACCTGCGAAAACAATTAGTCACCTGACGAATTTTCCCACCACAAAATGTATAAAAGCCATCCTCATTCCCCTCTCAGGGGAGTCGCCAATCAAACGGACAACGACGAAGACGGGCCAAATCTTCCCCTTCTCGAGGGATTCGCCGAACATCGAAGTCAACATCGCCTTCTCCATCGCAGCCCTACACTTTCGTCGCCGACCTATACTTGTGTCACCGCCCAGAATCCATAAAGGATGACATTACGGGAAAATATCCCATTAGGGTATGCTAAGAGGTATGAACGCTTAGTATTGTAAACTCTCTCTCTCATACGCGAATGAGACGTACCGTGTTAGAACGTTTGTTTTATTGTTAGTTTAGAAAAATGGTGTCTTTACTTGACTTTGACCACGCCTTATCGTCGGCCCATCCTACTCTCCTCCACTCGCGTAACGCGTAACCGAACGTTACTCCCATCCCTAACAAGAAAGTAGGTCACCGACTAGAGACGGAAGGAGAGGACTCCTCTGCCCTTCCGGTGGCTCACAAGTTGGTGTAGCAGAAGTGGGGTTTTGAACTAAAACCCCTAGAGATCTCACACAGTCTTCTCAGCTTATCCCAGAGGCATCAGTTCGCGCCAGATTTTGTACAGTGCGGTTTATTGTTTGCAACTTCTCGTTATCTTTCGAAGTTCACTGGTATAAATTTTTGTTACGTGAATGAATATTTTTTGCATTGTTTTTAATGGATAAAAGGTGAAAAGTTCACTGTGAATTTAGAACTTGTTTCAGAATATGCTATTTTATAGAAAGAAAAGTTGAAAAATAATTTATTTTCAACAATTAGCGAGAACTGATTTTTGGATATAATCCTCTGATATAAATGAAGGTATGTATTATATGCTTACTAATTTACTTGTGCATATAATTATTTAGACCTAATTTCGAAAAACATTTATGTTTTTTTAGTGTTTATAAGCGTGTTATTTACACATGCCTACCGATTTAGTGCTATTTTACGTAAAACAAAGTGAAAGAAGGATACAAAGTTCAATAAGCAAGTAGTCCTTTTATTAGCAAATTAATTTGTTATATTTTTTTTTATATTTTAGGTGTAATTAGATGAAACTATGATGAGAGCGAATGGACAGTTGTATAATGAACTGGATTTAAGTAAATTAGTTGACTTTGTTTGTTTTGATCTAGTTATTTCGTAATATTACAATATACGAACTTTAGATTTTGTAAATTGTATTGTAGTGAAAAATAAAGTTTTATGTTATTCTCCTACTTGATGATGTATTTTTAATGTTTCCGAACTAAATAACACTTATTAAATTGAAATTCAAACTTTACAAACTACTACGAATATTAGAGAAGACCGTTTTACTATAAATTACTACGTTTTACTGTAATGAACAATCTCAACAACTGGCACCCCATTTGCCTGTCAAATACACTCGGCAAACTATACACGGCGTGCCTTGCTGACAGGCTTCTGTGCTGGTGCTCAGTCAACGATCGCCTCTCGCCGTCCCAGAAGGGCTTTTTAAATTACCAAGGTTGCCTCGAACATAACTTTGTGCTGCAGTCCGCAATTCAAAATGCCAGAAGGACCAGGCAAGACTGTTTCATTGCCTGGCTTGATATTTCCAACGCCTTCGGCAATATTCCTCACACCACTCTTTGGAATTCCCTCAAATGGCACGGCCTCCACTCGGACGCCATAGAGACACTACAACAGCTTTACAAGGGAGCTACTACACGTGTGCGGACCAACACAGGGTTTACGGACTATATCCAGTTACAATCCGGGGTGAAGCAGGGGTGCCCCATCAGTCCGTTACTATTCATACTTGCACTAGAGCCCGCCATCTGCAAAATCCAAAGCCTCAACAAAGGGTACCTCCTTAACCATCATTCCATCGATGTTCTGGCCTACGCTGACGACATTGCGCTCGTCAGCAGATCTAAAAGCGGCCTCCAGTCAATTAAATACCATTGTCGACTGGACTGACTGGGCCAGTATCCATTTCAACCACAAAAAGTGTGGGACTCTCTCAGTTCGGGGCAAATCGCACTCCACTGGTAACGACTCCTTTTCCATCAAACATCAGAGGTTACCAGTACTAAGAGACAATGACGCATACCGCCATCTCGGCGTACCGACTGGATTCAGTAGGTGCGGCACGGAGAAGGCCACAATTGAGGGCATCCTTCAATCCATCGTAAAACTACACTCGTCCAAGCTGGCGCCTTGGCAGAAAGTGGATGCCCTCAACACTTTCATCATGCCAAAACTTACTTTCGCCCTTACTACTGGCACCACTCCTAAGGGCATGCTTACCAAAATAGATAGAACCACTATAAGATGCGTCAAAAAGTGGCTCGGCCTACCCCAACGTGCCAGCCCTGAGATTGTCCACCTCCCCTACATGCAGGGAGGAACGAACGTCACCCCTACCAACCAACTTGCGGACATCGCTCAGATCGCCCACGCGATGTACCTCTTTAAATCTAGAGACCCCAACATCAGTAAAATCGCCACTGACACTCTCTGCGAGGTTGTCAAGAAACGCATCGGGAGGTCCCCCAACCCCGATGACCTCTGTCACTACCTCGACGGCTCCATGGAGGGCGTGTTTGGCTTACCAAGCAGCGACATTACCTCCATGTGGACCAGGTTGCGGATGGCTACCAGACGGCTCAAGAGGCGCATAGACATCACATGGACCGTTGGGCCTGATAACCTGCCCACCATCTCTGCTGGAACCACCACCATCCAAGCTAGAGATTGCCAAAGAATACTGTGCGGTCTGATGAAACAGCACTTCTTAAAGCACCTTCTCACGAAACCTGACCAGGGGAAAGCACATGGAGTCACCACCACCAGTGCAGCAAGCAATCACTTTCTCAATAATGGGAAGTACACCAGCTTCGCCGACTGGTACTTCATTCACCGGGCCCGTATGAGCGTTGTGGCACTCCGAGGCCACAAACGCTATGGTAATGATACCAAACAGTGTAGGCGTTGTGGGCACACTCGTGAAACACTAGCCCACGTTTTGTGTCATTGCCCGCCGAATCTCCATCTTGTCACCCGCCGCCACAATGCCATCCTCGACAGACTTGTCGCAGCCTTCAGACCCGGCGACGCAAAAATCCTTGTCAATCAATGTGTACCGGGCTTCTCCGACAACTGTCGACCAGATTTGGTAGTCATCCACGAGCAATCCAAATCTGCGACAATCGTGGATGTCACTACCCCATTTGAAAATGGTCCTACGGCATTCCCATTAGCCAGAGAAGAGAAACTCCGGAAGTATGACTCGCTGGCCCGTCACTTCAAACAACAAGGATATGATACGCACATAAGTGCGTTTATCATCGGAGCCTTGGGTGGCTACGACCACTCAAACGAAGCTACATTACAACGACTGGGGATAAAACGTAGCTACTCGAGGCTTATGACAAAACTGATGGTGAGCGATGCGATCAGGTGGAGTGCCGACATCTACAGGCAGCACATCGAAGACCACCGTCAGCGACAACAACGAAGATCAGCTCTACTCCCATCGACCAACAACAGAACTCACTCTGTCGCGTAATCCAGCTGGCATACGTGCCCATGTCCGCGCAAACTTTGTTTCTTACCTGGCAGGCAACAGAGCCCATGTATATAACCGCGAATAACACCTTACTCTGTATATATCTTTGGCTGGCACTGAGCCCATGTTAACTCGGATCTTGCTCTACTTATTACCACTTGTAGCACCCAAGTTGGCAAACCAAGCCCATGTCTCGGTATCGATCTTATTGTTACCTATTTAATTATTTGTATTTTTTCTATTTAAGATTTAAATAAAGGCTTTTTGATCTCAGAAAAAGTAGTCAGACAAGGACCGTTAGATTGATGACGAGACTCACTTTTCCGGGTCACATTGGAGCACTCGCGATAGTGTAATTTACAGAAGTCACGCCTACTTTTTTCTGACGTGAGCCAATTAGGAATATTAATTTTTTTAACCAATCAGATGATGGCGGGAGGCTTAAATTAGATTTATGTCGATAGATGGTCCTCCAAAATGTCATACTGTATTTATTTTAATTTTTTCAACAAAATTCTTATATATATGTAAAGAGAAAAATCTCTCTTTTAATTAAAAAACAACTTTATCCACGCNATTTATGAATGTTCTTTTGTAATGTTATACATAATTTCCTTTATCTTAAAACGAGCCTCTGCTCGCTTTTGTGGACTAAGATTTCTTAATCTGTCAGCTAAACTGACACAATAATGGTATAGTTCATCTTCTTTTTGTTGACGATTTACCATTGTCTCTGTCATTTGGATTAAATTGTGCACATCATCTTGTTCCTTACTTTTTTTTCTACGCTTTGGTAATGTTGAGAATTCTGCTGTAGATGATGATGATGATGTGCATGGTATATCTTTTGAAATATCCCTAAAAATTATAAATATATAAATGAAACTGAAATATATATATATAGGCTATACATAGTAGATGAAAAAATTAAACTACAAATAATAAAATTAAAACATAAATGTAGACTTAAGAATACAGGCATAAACTAAAGGAAAAATATTTGATGTATGTAGGGCACTTAACATTATTATTAAATAACTTGAGATAAGGAATGATTAATTTACTAACAACATATAAACCATATATTAACTTTTGGATAGAACAAAACAATATATTACATTGAAAGACTTTGAAAATTTGGACTTCCTGGATAAGACACCTGGACAGGACACATCTCTTCCAAATCTTCACTTTGTAGGCCATCATTTAATGAAATATTGCTACAAGTTCTATTAAAATAAAGAAAAAATATATAAGTGAAGTTTTATGTAGATTATTTTTCAACTTTAAAAAAATTTGTTTTAAACTATGACTTTTTATTGTCTTGTATCATTATTCATTATAATATTTAATAATATATTTCTGTTACATACTGTGAAAATTGTTCATCCTGTCCATTGACTATATTCATTAGTAGGTGCATTTGAGGAAACCATTTCCACTTACAATTGTGGAGGTCATCCACACCAGCACCACTTCTTGTTTTTTCATCTATAGTTTTTTTTTCTTTCCTGTAGGTATCTACAAGATTCTTCCATTTCTTCTTTACTTCTTCAACTTCAAAATAATAACAGAAAAACAAAATTCCATGTTAAAATATTTATAAATAATAATCAATTAAAATTAACAGCATTGTTTCTTAATAAAATACAATTAAACTCTTACAAGACATTCATTCAATATACAGTGGTATTTTGCCATTCTGTACTTTGTATGGGTATTTTTTGTTTTTAATGATTTATGTATGCTAGGTTTGTAAACTTGTTGTTAAATTTGTCTTAAATTCTACTTAAAAGGTTTTTATAAATGTATTCTTGGGGACTGCAGCTGATTAATTTAATTTACATTTAATAATTACAAAAAACCACCCCTCAATGTTTCACAATCATATTTGTTGTTAGTAACTATCACGTGTTAAATATTTTTAGAATGTTTTGATATTTAAATGTATCGCTATCAAAATATTGCTTAAACTCTTTGGTTAATATTCAAGTTATGATATTTTTCTCATATCATAACTTAGCAAAGTTTGCTAACTTTGCTAAGTTAAATAACAGCAAATTTTATATGTTTAAAACCCAAATAATCTTATTTAAATAAATGATTTAGGTTATTAATAAGAAATAATATACAAATGCACGTGCTTCAAATTTGATTGTTCATTTTATACCGAATAGTTTATGGTAGGCTTAACTACAAGTACAAAGAAACTTTACTCACCTGTCAAATTAACACGCTCCGCAATCAACTTCCACCGATTTTCCTTCAAATCGACGTCTTTGTATCTCCGATCCATTTTTGTATATAAAAATGGAGCATCTTCCATTTCTTCTAAAAGTTGTTCTATATTTACTTTACACCGAGAAGAAGCTTGTGTCGCCATGTTGAAAACAACAAGAACCACGTGACAACTAGAGGGAATCTGATTGGTGGCGAAACTTTTTCGCTAGCGAAAAAGCTCGACAGTTCCGAACTTCGAAGCGATTCGCGAAATGGTAAAATTCGCCGGAAACGACGTCATGTCTGACGTGTTATTCGCTCTGTTTTTCGCTTTCGCTAGCGAATCGCGCTCAGTGTGAACTAAGCTTTATTTTCGGGGAAACACAGTAGAAGAAACTTCTTCCTTAATTCCATTAGGTCTTCGTTTTATATATGCTTCTTGGCTTGTCCGGTTTATGATTTTGTCGTATTACATTTTATATATATATTATACTTAACATATGATGGAATTTTTGATTGATACCTTATTGTTACTTTGTTAGAGCTCGCTTTCTTGAATGTTCTATATTCGAGATGTTGTTTTGATCTTGTTATTGTAATATCTAGGTAGTTAATGTTTTGTCTTGTTATATCTTCGGTCTCTATTTTAAATTTCATTACTTTGTGTATACTATTTGTCTGCTTGTCAATATCTTCTATATTAATTTCTGTTTCGTCATATATTATTAAGATGTCGTCAACGTATCTTTTGTAGAATTTTATTCCTGGTATATTACATATTATATTATCTATGTCTATCATAATTAATTCAACAAGTTTTGGGCCGATCACTGATCCCATACTTATCCCATCTGTCTGAGTATAGTATTCTCCATTGGTTTCGAAATAGTTACTTCTGTATGTAAATTCTATTAAGTCTATTATTTCTTTGTTGAAGTCTAGGTTATTAAAGTTTTCTTTTATTAGATACCAAGTTATTGATGGGTACTTATCAACTATGTCGAGGCTGGCTATTCTATACTTTTCTTCTATATTAATTTTGTTTAGTTCTTTTATGAGTTCGTCTGCGTTTTTAATTGCAAGGTGTGAGTTGTGGTATTTTTTTAAGCTTTTGTTTTAGGAATTTTTCCAGATTATATAACGTTGAATATTTAAAACCTATTATTGGTCTTACTTTTTCTCCTGTCTTGTGCATTTTAAGTTTTATATTTAGTTTTGGTATACGGTTATTTTCGTTTAGTATGAACCATTTTTCTGTTTTAGTAATCTTATTAAGTTTTTCGAGTTTATTAACTCTTTTTTTAAGTTCTATGTATATTACGTCTATAGGATTTATAAATAGCTTTTTAAAATTATTATTCTTTACAATTTCTTGCTTTTTGTTTCTTGTCCATTCTTGGTTAACTATTGATTTGTGAGCTTTAATAATTTCTAATCTATTATCTCTTAGGAAGTTATTCAGCTCTTGGATTTGGGTCTTATATTGAAGATAGCCAGGTTCTTTTATTATTATTTTGTTTCTTTTTTTAGTTATATATGCTTTAATTTTATTACTTAGTTTAATTTTCGTCAAAGATGATTCTGTTTTAGGTAGATCATTACACAATTTGTCTAAATTTGTTAATATATTTAAAACGTCCCATTTATTGGGGCCATTGAAATCTAATACTCTATACGGTATTTCCTTGATGCTTACTGGTATGTTTATTCCTGTTTTCTTTAGTATAAGAGCTTCTTTCCAACTTGTGAGTTCTATTTTAGTTAGGTATTGAAATTTTTTATATTTGTTCTCTTCACATTGGTGATTGTATTTTATTTGTTCTTTAATATTTTGTAACAATTCTATCTTAGTTTTTGTTTTATACTTTTTCACGGTTTGTTTTAATCTTCTAATTTTTATATTTTTGTATTGTATCGCTGCTCTGAAAATTTTACAGTTGATAGAATTTCTTTCTCTCGTAGATATAGCTTTAACGATTGATTTGGTAAAGATAGTGTTCTAAGGAGTGTTCGTTCATTGAGGTGCGTTTTTAGGTACTTCGAGTGTACGAAAGATTTTCTATTTCACCTTGTATTTTCTTTTCATGTCCGTAATCTTGGTGTTGACTTTTTGAATTTTTGTTTGATGAGTCTTGCCGTTTCTAGTTTCCGTAGATTTGTTGATTTGTTTTTTAAAACCGTGTCCTGTTTTATAATTCTGGCGTAGTAAATACCGCAAAGATTGCCGAAACAATGGGAAATCAGACTTGATGATTCAAGAAACCTATGTAAAAATAAAAATAAACAAGCAACTAAAACAAAATATATTAAGTTCCCGTATATTAAAGGCCTATATGAACAAATCAGTACAAAAATAGAAAGAATAAACTACAAATTAGCACCATCATATCAANCCAAGAAACCTATGTAAAAATAAAAATAAACAAGCAACTAAAACAAAATATATTAAGTTCCCGTATATTAAAGGCCTATATGAACAAATCAGTACAAAAATAGAAAGAATAAACTACAAATTAGCACCATCATATCAAAAACTGGAGACCAGACTGTTAACCTCAAACCAGAAGTAAAACCAGCAAATACAGATTGAAGCCCAATGTGTAGTATAGTATATAAAATTCTGTCTACTTGCGCAAACAAGAAACATTACATAGGAGAAAGAAAAAGAAAAGTAAAAACTAGATTGAAACAACACATAACGGACCTAGAATACAATAGAATAAAGTCCTAAAATAAACGAAAACTGGCTCAATTTACTATAAATAAAAAAGTTTCTCTGTGAACTGCAATCTTTTCAAAAAATAATTTCTAAAAATTTGGAAAAAATCAGACCACAAGGTGGCGAACTTCATACGTGGCAACACTAAAGATACCAGCGCAAACGCCAAAGGAGGAATGGCAAAAGCGGGCGGAAATAACTCAAACATTTATTATCGTTGTATTGTGTCAAAGTTTATCCGAACGGGAATGTATATGGAACTTTTTAAATTGTAATGTATACTGGTTTATCCATAAAAGGATTAAAGCAGGTTTTGCAAGATTATAAATTATACAAAGTGTAACCAAAGTTGATTGAAGAGGGGCAAAGCCCGAAACAAGTACAAAACAATGTACCGTATCGACTCAACTAATAAAGATATTTGATGGAAAACTTGCCACGGGTCTTTGGAATACAACACAAAACTAGTATTTACCATGCCAGAAAAATATTTTTGTATATTTAACAAAATATTATTAGTAATTATTATTTGTATGGAAAACTTTCTACGATTTCACATAACTACATTACTTTTGTTTTCAATCGGGAGTTTGTCAAAGTAACGATAGTGAAGATTAGGATAATTACATTATAGCCAATCTTACCCGTTTTCACAGAATGCAACAATTAGGTTCTCCGTTTCCAGACTAATTACAGACCTAGATTCGATTCTAATTCTGAACGTCTCCTGTTTACGTTTAGTCAAACGAACTCTTTTCAACGTTTCTGAAACGTTTACAATAGTTTTATAATCGAACCAATATTCGAATTTTATGTTCGAATTCAAATTCGAACAAATTCGAACATAATTTCGAAATAGAAAACCACTTTCAACCACTTTCAGCCCCATATCTCCCGTACCCTTATAGCTATCGAGACGCAACCCCCATAGTGCACGAATGGAGA